CATTCAACTAGGTTTTAGTGCTCCCTTCAGAACCAGCCTCTCAATAGAGCTAATGGGCAATGGGAGTGAAAGGCAGCCATAGAGAAACACATAATGTACACATAACAGCAAGAGAAGGAGGGAGAGACGTGGAAATATATCATTCCTTATCCCTTCAGACTTTAGATTGTCCTCTCACACTTATTCTTTTCTCTTTATTTTCCATACTCCTTTATCTTCCCACTGACCCGATCTCTTAGACAACAAGGTTATACATTTTGACGTGTCGATTCATCTTGTTTGATTTCCATCTTTATTTAGAAGCATTTAGAACTGACTTCTTCAAGGTTCTATTTTGCTGCAGCAGCAATAGTTCCAATAATAATTAGATGTATCCATTGAAATGACTGCGACAGCTGAATTGTGTCTCCTCGGTTGCCCAGGGACGATCGCAGATGGCGTTCTTATGAGTATGTAATGTAATGATCAAGATCAGACAGTAGTTAGTTGCAAGCAGTTTAATTTCTCTGAAGAAGGACTCCTTGTTGAACTAAAGTACATGTTGTACTGTACGGTTGTAGAGCTGATACCACGAGTCGGTACTTTTATTCAAAGAACATGTATCTCTAGGTAATTAAATAAGCATAATTTTACATAAAACTCCAGGCAGTCAGTAGAGTGAACACCTCCACCAAGTCCCAACAGTCTCCTCAAATCCAATCAAGCTGAACCAAACACACTCATAGATATCAGTCCCATAAACAGGCCTGTGTTTTTACATCCAGGTCCATTAATTACTCCCTGGGAAAACATTTGGGAAAATGTTTCATAACACCCCATCTCATATGAAAAAAGATCCTGGATGCACCCCCTGATCCGGATCGCCAGAAAATACCAATTAAAACCAAAAGTGGAACTATTCCTCCTAAAAATGATGGAGCACACCAGCCTTTATAAACATAAGTCAAACTTGATTACATAATGCCATTCCCACATGTCATATCAGTGCCCATAACAACTAAAACGATTTTGGATAATGGGAAATAGATTTAACACAGTGGCTCAATGGACAAATATTTCATACAATTAAACCTCAGCACATCTTTAGAGGAATCTGCAGAGGCCACAGGCTCCTCCCAGGACAATCCCAGAATTATTAGGTATCAAAGACATCAAATAAGCAGACGACGTATTCCCATGATGTGATTTTGTCATTTTGCTTTCCGATTAATTCTAGCAAAGTGATTTTCTTCTTAATTATTTATAGAAAAGCAACAGACAGAAGAATAAAATAAATAAGTAGAGTTAACAATAGAAATCTCATGTAGTCCTTTGTAAACACACTGAAAAATGGAAACTTTAAAAGATGACTTGAATTGGTAACACACAAATTAATTTGTTCAATTTAAATTTAACAAATTATACTGACACAATTAGTAACCTTAATAGAAAAAGCTTAATTACTTTGTGTTCTGCCAAATTATCTAATTTATGTTGGTAATAAATGACAGTGCTGTCTGTATCTTTCCAACAGGTCATCCTCTGTCTGCACATTTTTTCTGCTGACTTTACAAAGCTTCCTGCTTATTCACAGGTGTGATTCTTATCGTTTTTTTTATGGAAACAATCTCATTTATCAGAGAAAAACACTGACACCCGACACAGACAGGGTGTAAAGCTGTGAAGTAATTATCACTGACCTCACAGTCTTCCCAGTTAATTGGTGTGCAGAGCCCTGTAGAACAGCAGCAAGAGAGAGAGAGAGAGAAATGCACAGCACATACTGTGCAGTACTCACTGATGCAAAGACGTGAAGTGAAAAGAGAGGGGAAAATGGGGTAAGTTTCAAAATGAGCTGTTGAAGTGGACATGCACGGGGGGGGGGGGGGGGGGGGGGGGGGGGGGTGAAATGGTGTGTGGGTAACTGACAGAGATGAGGGGAAGGTGCTTGCTTGTGTATCATGTATCTTGCTGTGCTCAGCTCAGCAGAAACAAACACACACTTGCATCTGCAAGCCGTGGACCTCAGCAGATGCACAGACGGAAATAGCTCTGGTGAGAGAAAGTGAGAGAGGGATACACAAGTCCATCTAGGGCAGCCTGGACGCAGGAGCACTGGTGCAGTCTGCTTCGTTTGGCTGTGGTAGCCATTTTCAGCGTTCTCATGTGCCCTGGTTGTTTGATTCCTCATCAAACATTTAACATTTTGTACCTGGACCTCGTATAGAACTCTCCCTGCAGAAGGCTGTGCGTGCTCACAGCAACGGAGGAGCTCTGTGCAATGGCGTGAATTTGTTGTATGTGGTTAAATGTTTATCTACAACCTCCTGACCTCAACCCAAGGGGATCAGTGAAACCTGCAGGAGAGGCATAACTTAGATTATATAGTCTTGGCCTCCACATAGCCTGTTTTCAGACCTCAGGTGAAGGCTGGAGAATTGGACTTTACCCACAGTTTGCCTTTCACACATGCACAACACAGAGGGAGGTTCTCTGCACAGATGCATTCACAGTAGCAACAAATCCTCTGCATTATTCAGGCGAGAGGTGGAGCAGTCGGCAGAGGCAGGAAGTGACATATTAACTCTGCTGCGGAGATCACACGATTTTCTTTGCAACACACAGACGAATGTGATAAGCACCATCAACCCCCCACTTGCTCGCAGTGAGTCCAGCAGGGGATCCCCTGCCTTGTTCTCACATCGAATTCTCCTGAAACTCTACAGACTCACTAGGAGGCCAGAAGGATAAAGTCCGTATAAAATCTGGAGCCTCTCACTCTGACATTTGCGATCACACATGCACCTCCTCTGGAGAAAATACAGAGGATCTGCGGAGTTCTGTGTGTGTCTGAAAGCAGCTATAGAGTATGACCTTCATATCAGGTAAGTCTATGAAATAGATATTTTACTCAATAGCTTACATGTAGTTAAACATAAACATAATCATAAAGCACCCAATGTAAATCTGCTCAAAGACAGAAGAAAATGGGTAAATGTAGTTTCACTGTGTGGAGAAAAAAAGAAAACCAGTGATGATGACTGCTGAAGCGAAGAGAGTAAGAATCCAGCCACGGAGCCGAGAGCAGTGCTCTGAATACTGACTGTGTCATTCACGTCCTTGGACCAGTCTCGTAGCCGGGATGAGTGACAACAAGCTATGGCTGGACCCACTGAGTGAATTTAAATTTCAATTTGCTTAACGATCCAAAGAAAAGGCAAATGCAAAATGTTTCAGGAGGGAAAATAGTGGATAAAGAGGAGCGGAGAAACACACACATATTGTGGCATTGATTACAGGCATATTGATGATTTGTACCTCCTTATCAAACCATCAGCTGACAGTGAGGGGCCCATTACAGATGCCAGTGGGCCACCTGTCCTCCATAGGGCCAGTAAGTGAAGGCAGCGTGGCTTTAACCTTCAGCTAAGTGTAATGATGTTTGACAGCGCTAAGCAGCCAACCTCGCTCATTAGGGATCCCTGTGCCAGCCTGTTGTGGTCAGGGTCTCTCCTCTTGGCTTTCGCTTTCATCTCTCTGCTGCAGCAGCACAAAGCCCAGCAGTCTCCTCATTAGGCAGGCTTATTGCATTAATTCAGCACAACATAACACACTGAGCTGGAGTCGTTCCAAATAATCCCCCTCGTTTGTGTTTGTTGTGAACAGGAAACCCGGCTGCTGCGGCCGCTGGTGCAGCTGAGAAGGACGGTCTTTGGCAGCATTTCGACTCTTTTCAGACAGTGGAGGCCTGCGCCCATGCTGGACAACATTATAGCCAACATTTACAGAGAATAAATGCAGGCAGCAGGTAAAACGCTGACCTCCATGACATTTGAACACCTCTAAACTCTGATACACCACACTAAGACCTGTTGGCTGAGGAAAAACTGCAGATAGATTCAGTAACAGAAATACCTCTGCCAAGGCCTCTTAAATTCAATCAAGCTGGATCAAATTGCACACACTCATAGATCCCTGTCCTGATTTTATTCAGATAAATCCATGAATTATTCCCTGGGAAGTCAGTGACAATGTCAAAGAACGCCCTATTACACAATGTTAGAGAAAATGAAAAATCTGCCCCCTAAACTGGATCGGCACCAAAATGTAATAGGTTCTTCCCTGACCCATACAACATCCTTCCACCCATTGTTGTGAAAATCCTTCCATTAGTTTTGCCTACAAGCAAAGAAAACTTAACTAACTAATCTGCATGAACAGGAAAAGATGATTCACATTCAGTTCAGCCACATACAGACAGTCCAGAAGTCCAAACCTCCACCTATTTGGAAAAAGCTTTTATGACCATAAGAGCTGAGGAACATTTCATTTGTGACCAGCCCTGTAGTTTCATTGATAAGTACCATCTCACTGGTTGGTCCTATGACACCTGTCAGGGGCTCAGCAAAACTCCAGCACCATGGACAGCACTGTGTGTGGAGCGGCATTGGCTTCCACAGAGAGACTGGACACTGTCTGTTCCCCTTCACCACTGACACTTCATTTATCTAATCGACTGACCAAGCGCATTCAAATACATCCCAGTGTTTATGAGTTCAATGATTCAAATACACAGCAGCAAAAAATAGGCCACGCGGATAAGCATTTCATCTTTCAATATGAGAGAAAGAGAGAGAGGGAGAGATATCGATAGGGAGATAGACAGCGAGAGATGTAAAGATGGATGGAGACATAGATAGTTATAGAAAGATATGGAGAGATACAGTCACAGATAGAGATAGAGAGACAAATAGATATAGTAATAGACAGAGAGATAAGGCTATATAGATAGAGGGATAGGGATGTAGAGATTTATAGATAGAGATACAGATATATAGAGAGATAGATGGAGAGATATAAAGATAAAGATGGAGAGACCAGCTGTTTGATACCATGTGTTTAAAAACTAAACAGCTTATAGAATAAAGGTCTTTGGGACTATCTACACAGCATAAACCTTATATGACAGAAGTGACGAGTGGAACCATCCCTCACCCTGGAGGTATGGTAACAGAACTGACCTGATGCTGCCTGCATCCAGCCGCAGATCTTGTACACGGTGGAGGTGCTGAGGAGGAAGAAGAGGCTGAAGCAGCCGATGCAGGTGACGACGAGCATCATGGACATGCCGACGAAGAAGGAGGCGGCCTTGAAGGCGCTGGAGGGGATGGCGGCGAACTCGGTGAAGCTGCCCTGACAGGCCAGCTCTCTGGAGATTCCGTCCCCGATGCAGTAGTGGAAGAGGCCGAAGTAGCCGACCTGCGGCGTGTCCACGCCATCCCCGATCCAATAGGGCTGCGAGAAGATGGTCACGTTCACGATGCCGAACAGGATGGTGAAGATGGCCCACAGGAGTCCGATGACACGGGAGTTGCGGACGTAATTGGTCTGGTAGAGTTTCGCGGCTTCTGCAGACGGTAGCATTGATGCGGCGGATCCAGGGATCATTTTACGCAGAAAAACTAGGTGAACGCTGCGATGTGTGCGAGCACAAAGCGAGGACTGGACATTTAGCGCACGGTGTTGTTTTCTTACCGAACGACCCCGAAAACAGCGAGAACAGGCGGAGGATCTACGTCCGCGCAACCGCAACCATGCAACATCTGTCAGGCGCGATCAACTCATGACGTCGCATCCGAGAGCCAGGCGGGGAGAGCAGGGGCGATGGAGGCTGGAGCTGGGCGCTGCTTCCCGGGATGTGTCGCCGATCCCCCGATGTCTTACTCTGAGAAGTGTTCCGGGATGTGACCACGCTGCTGCCTCCCACTGTCTCCGTCTAGCCGCCAGACGTGCACATCGCTGCCGCACCGATGTCCTTGGAAACCCTCCGACTGCAAAAAAAGGAAATAAAGGCCCTTATTATTCAGTGCGATCACAGCCGCATCACATACAAACAGCTGCACCCTGGTCGTGTTAGGCGACAGAGGTGGATCATATATCCAGTGACACATAACACAGGCCTCATACCTATGAGTTAAAGCAGCCGATCATTCAGGAAAAAACCCTCAGGATGGTTTAGTCTCCGGGCTGTCAGTGATGCTGGAGACGGAGGAGGAGGATGGACGGATGGATGGAGGGAGGAGGGAGAGACACAGACGCAGAAGCAGCCCGTGATGTGCGCGTCTATCCGTGCAAACAGTGACACACACACCTCCCGGAGAACGCTGCGTCAACATGCGCCGAGCTGACGACACCAATGCGTTTCTACAGCAGCCTAAAGATTCAAACTGTGGAACAGATGAGCAGGAGATGTATGGAATTCTCTGTAGGGTTTCGAAACATGATATCCTCCTCGTGTCAGTGTCACCTGACGTGTTAAAGACGCACTGCTCTGCTCCATGAGGCGCTGCTGCCAGGAGGTTATGTAATACTTCATGATAGTGCACATGGTGTCCCTGAGAAAACACAGGCAATGTATACTGAGAAGTATCAGCAGTGAATACTCATAATTTTTTCCTTTTGTATTTTACAAAGTAAACTAAGAATGATTTCTATTGTAAAACCACCTATAGAATGTAAAGCCATCACTAATTTTTCATCATATGAGGAAAATAATCAGGTAGAGTGTAAACGTCACTCTCTGTTACATAAGACAAGTCATTCACAATTTTGATTTCAAAGGAAGACGTCAAATGCAAAAGTTGCAACACTGATCTAGGACAGTCACAACATGCTACTCCTACAACTATTACACTTTGCTTTGCATCTCAATGAGAATGGGGAATATACTGTATATGTCAGTTAAATGTTTTTTTGTTTTGTTTTTATGTTTTGAATAAAAAAAATAAAATGAATGAGTCCTGCTGTGTCCAAGACTGTGGTGAACATGCACATGACCATCTCAACGTTTCCCTATTGTCTTCAACTACACCTGGAAGTAATAGAGTATAACCACAATAAACAGAGACACTTCAGTTTGACAGAGCTGTGTGCTCATTAACCTTTGGTGATAACTAATAACCTATAATGCATCATAGATAAATGAATAACCATCATTTCTCGACACTACCTCGGTAGCCGTGCCTATTCCCGTTGCATGCTGCACTTTGAATGATTGGACTCTTTTCTGTGTCAGATGCATTGTCCTAATTTTGCTCCCTTCATGGCCAATCTGCATAATGCCAGTTGCCCATGGATTGGTATACAGAGGATTTACTGTTGAGTTCAATGCTGATTTTTCAAAGTACTGATGAACTGGAGTCCATTCATCACACTGAGTGCATGGAGGCACTAGACTCATGACATCACTGGAGTCAGAACCAAAATATATGTTTGTTGAATAGTTGTTTCATAGATTTAATTTATTCCTGAAACAAAAATTCTAATCCTGAAATATTTATGGACACATTTATTAACAATTTAAATGTCATGCCAGTGGAATAATATTTTTCTAAATTATATTTATTAAGTACCATTAAGCAGTACATGTTTTTACTGCACCTGTATTAAAGAGAAATTATGCTCACCTACATCATCGTAACATAAACAGCAGCATACAGATTGTCAAATTAAAAATCTATTTCCTAGATTTATTTTGGGACATTACCTAATAGCACACTAACAGTGTTTTGCAAATGTACAAAATAATATGATAGGTGTTGGACTCACTATTATTATATTGATTATATTCTGACACCCTCATTTACTGTATATGGGAAACACTTCGGTGCTGGGGTCAAGAACCTAAAGAAAAAGTAATAATTTCTATTTTGAGTTGCATATAAACAAAAAAGTATAAAACTGGTCTTTGGTAAGGGTGAAACATCTGGACACTTTTTTCTCTGCACTAGAGAAATGAAAAATACATTAAAAAATGCATGACATTGATCAATTTAATGTGACCTAATGTATGTTACTGTTTGTTTAAACCTTTCAGCAAGTCCACAGGAGCACCTCTGACTGTTGCTGGATTTGAGAGAGAGGAGAGTCTGGGCTCCTACCATCTTGTGAAGGAAACCCACATACGTACATGACAGAGCTTCAAGTTGGGACATTAACTCAGATTGTTTGATATGACGAGGTGTGGATATTACACTGAAATAAAATTACACAAACTGACACAGAAATTAATATATGTGCAGTGAATATGTGGCTGGGGTAGCATTAAACTGCAGAAATAGAAAAAAAGCAAAAACTAAAGTGAAGAAGTAGACAACCAAAATGCAGACACCACTTGAGGAAAATCCCAAAATAACAGTCTTTAACATGACATACAGGTTTAATTTAAAGGTAGGCAGTCAAATCAGGTGTATCCTAAACACAGAGGTAAAAAAGCAAGGTAAAAAAAAAAAGAATCTTGGTCACACACACAAGGAATAATAATGAATAAAAAAACACAAGAAAACTCACAGAATTGATGAGACAAACTGGGAAGAAACTCAGACTAAATACACAAGATGAAACTAAAACAGGTGAGACTACTTCAAGGTGGAGCAGGTGATGACAAAAGGCGGGAAGGCAGACAAAGACAGGAAGTGAGAGAGACCCCCACCACATGGTACGGCCTGATGAGCTGGCTCCAGGATTTAAGAGTCCTCAGCCCTCAACCACTTCTCTTGAAGGGACCTTCCCCAACAACCACGGTAACTCAAAGACAAAAAAACAAACGATTAATATTGCAAACAATTCCCTGTGTAACCTTAGAGTGTTAAACTATGTGCAATTCATCTAAACATCGTAAGGGTAAAAGCATAGGAACAGCTTCCAAATAAACAAACTGTGATGTTAATAGTTAGGGTGTGGCTGACTGCAAATTAAATGAACCTGTGTAGCAAACTAATGTGGTGAGAGAGTGTAAATTTGAAGAATATTACCTTCACACTGATCCCTGCCCTGTCTCTGGCTTAAAGGTCCAGTGTGTAAGATTTAGGTGAAAGGGATCTATTGGCAGAAATTGAATGTAGAATAAAGAAATTTTACATTTGTCCAGATTAGACAAACTAATCACCTTTTGAGTTTTTATGACAACTGAGACCAACCACAGGTTCTCTTTCATGTTTGGAAGGAGAGGGTGAGGTGAGGGGTGTTCAGCTGCAACATGCAATTTCACCACTAGATATCATAAAATTCTACACACTGTATCTTTGACTACAAACACTGACAAGTCTAAGTTGACTTGCTTTACTTGCTTTAAGCATCTGACAAATTAACTAACAGTGCAAACAAAGATATAAAACCAAACAGAGAAATCAAAGTCCCCGACACATCAGAAGTCCCAAAATATCTGAAATGTAGTTAACCAATGTTTTGATGAAAGTATAGGGACTTTAGTGAGCGTATCTGCGAAAGAAAAACAACACTTTCAGTCACTATCCAGGCATTTTGTCTGCATGTAATTACTTCAATATCCCAGGATTATGACGAACCGCAACACTAGCAGGTGGAAAATCCCATAATCAATTTAAAATGTTTCTTTAACACTGAACTGGAGTGCAATGCATGATGGTCTATATTGCTAGGTTATCGATTGGACACTACTTTTTACAGTGCACCAAGGGATAAAATAAATTCAAATAAAGAGGGTATAAACTTTTTACTAAACATTCTCACTATACAGTGGGCGGTATAGTGTAAGTGTAGTTATGCCTTATCGTTTGCAACCGAAGAGCACCCCCCATGCCCTAACTGCTAATAAATGCTGTTAAAGTAACTAAAAAAACATTATTCGATAAATAGTTTCAGCTCATGTGTTTCACTGTTGGCCTACACACTGTCTTTATGTTCTTGATGTGGCTTTTTCTAAACATTTAGAAGCAGATTGTTATCTCATGTACCAGGAGATGGTGCTATCATACCGATGTATAATAAACCTAAAGGAATTTACAAATGATGAGCAGTTTCAACTTTTTTTTTTTTATCTAACTCACTAAATTTGATGTTAAACGTTTAATACAAATATATGTTAAAAGTTGAATACAAATATATATAATACGTTTTTTATTTTAAACTTCCCCAAATCTCATTAACAAACCCCATTGGACTTTAGTTGTAGTACCTCAACTGACCATCACGGGGCAGTACAGCCCAACATTAGCCTCTTCAATGAACTGTTTGACATTGACACATTTGAAAGTAAATATATAATTAATATAAATATCGTATGTGAGAAATAACCACTTCTCTCATATTATGGAGTTTGAGTTTTGCTCTCTGAACTTCCTGTTGTACAAAATAAACCAAAATTCTCTGAGAGATGATTCATGAAGTCACTAATCTCTCACTGTGCCTCTGGACCACAACCCACACTAAGCCTGGTGCTGTGCATAAAGATATAAGAGCAAAATAAAGAATTCATTTGGATCATGCCTCAAATTTCTTATTTTTTTCTGTCCTGATAACTTTCCCACCACACGATGTTGACCAATGACACAGACATAAATAACAGTGTCACCCACAGACAGGATTCTGGATTCGTTTCACCACATCTGTCCAAGCTTTAACCCAGCAAACTTTTGCCACGGGAGGCCTTCTGAGCCTGTCTTTCCAGGTTTTGGCGAATGCCAAAAGAATAGTCACATCCGCTTGAGGCTTCCTCAATTGAACTAGATTATTTTAGGACAAAAAAAGGCCATTGAAAAAGGAGGGATACAGAGTGGGGCTGTGACAGTGAATCGGTCAGTGTTTGCCAGAAAAACAAGGAGATTTCAGAGGCAGCGCTGGGACAGAAGAGGAAATGGTGCCTGCAAGAATTGAGTAGAAAGAATGGTTGGGAGAGGATGAGAGAGATTTGCCCCCATGAATTTTGGGATAAAAGATAGGCATGTGTGTGCGTGTATGAGAGAAAAAGAGGGAGTGAATGCCAAGCAGAGAAAGCCTGGGTGTGCTGAGATAAGCATGGGTTGTGGGGAGGTTGTTGTTTTCTGGCTACACTATATGCCTGTGTAGTTTTGTGCTTGTGTAAATGATTGTCTTCCTGTGTGTACATAACAGCCGTGACTAGTTGTTGAGTAGTGATGCGACTGCACACAATCCTCTTTTTTTAAATGTTGACCTGCAGTGGCTCCACTCTCGATAAGCGTCTCTCACTAAGTTTGCTGATCCCTCTGCGTTCCCCACTGTTCTGTACTTCTTCTTTCTAAATGAGGCCAAACATAATGTCTTATCTTCTCCGTGCTGGGAATAGAGCCTGTTTTTGACCTTTCGCTGCCATGCTGCAATCACTGCTCACTGAATGACTCCACGCCATGCAAGACTAATGAGTGTTCTGTGATGGTGGGCAGCTGAATGATGTGCAATTGGCCATATGTTGATTTATATTACACTGACTTT